CCCCTATACAGCGCCCCTGTCCCCACCAGCTACAGCACACCCATTATGGTGACACTTCAACTGTCATGGATGTCCTGCAGACACTGAAGTGACTCTGTGCTGCCATCTATTGTTGCAACCCCCTAAAAAAAAACAACAAAAGCTCTTTGACAATACCTTAGATTAGATAATAACCTCTGCTCTATAAAAGCTGGGTGTGTGAGAAAAATCGACACATTCCTGTAGATCAGGTTTGACGTTGCTGTCATTCTTGTAAAGTCACATTTCAGGTTGGTATTTCAGACACAAATGAAACATCTGTCGGGTATTTGTCCGCCTTCAAAAACGTGTTGGCGGGTGAGTTGTAAACTCAAAGAGTTGATCTGCGTCATGGAGCCTTTCAAGGACGGTAATGTTGCACTGACTTTAGATCTGGATTTATTGTTTGTAGCAACATCAAGTCACCAAAGGAATTTTATCTTTGTGTCAATATGAAGAACAATGCAGGAAAAATGATTCTTTCTGACTTGGGTTACTTTTTTACATCCATTTAAGGTGAAAAGAATGAATTCTACTATTATGACTGAAATTCATTTACAAAAGATAAAGATTATTTTATTTAAAAAACATTGTTTTCTTTAAAAACACAGACATATCTTGCTCTTGACAAAATTCAACATTCACTGTCAGATTAAAAATAATAACAATAATCCCGTTAATGGTAATTTTCCACGTTGGAGTGTAAAACAAGTGTGTTAAGATAACGGCAGTAGCACAGCCTTTGTCAAGTTTCCACTCCTAAATCCAAAGTCCGCACATACCTGAAGATTCCCAACCACTGGAAAAATACGTTCCTGAGTTTCCTTCACAAATAAACTTAAAATAGTTAAAACCAACCCGGCTCAAGTTTTGTTTTTCTAAACATATGTTAATGTCTTTACTTTGTCCTCCATCTTTACTGGTCATCGCTGTGACCATATGTCCAACGCTCTGCAGCAGATCCTCTTCCATTAGTGTTGATTTGGCTCTGAGCTCCAAAGTCTGAGGAAGAGGAGGGCACAAGGTGCCAGAGGTCACCTAGTGGGCAGACTGGGAGATCAGCTGAAGGTCCAGCGCTGGTAGAGATCTGCAGGATTGCAGTGGTCCATATGAACCCGATCGCCTTTCAGCTGTAAGCATTGCCCGCTGCTTGGATTCTTCAAAAGATTTTCCTGAAGAGAAGAATCACAAGAAGAAATGTTAAATTGTTGTTTTACGAACACTAATTATTTTAAACTTACTTTGACACTAAAATGTTAAACTTTCTGGTTTGCTTTGTTTCCAAACATTTAATAGAAAAATATATTTCATATCAAATAAAAAAAGCCCTAAACTTGTTCTAGTTTTACAGATGTTTACAATTCGTACAAAATTTTTTGTGTTAAAAACTGTTCCAGCAGTGATAAATGCTAGAGTTTAATGCTTTCGTTTAGAAGACGTTTCATCTGGAATTTCAAAGGAGCCAAGCCCAAGATTGTAGCATTAGTCTCTTATCTCAAAGTAAAAAAAATAGCTTGCAAGTTCCAAAGGTGAAGATTACYGCAGGACTGTTTCATAGAAATTAGAGGCTCTGCCTATGATGTAATCAGTGTCAAACCTGCCATTGTGCATGTATGTAACAATAATAAAAGTTTCTTATTATTTAATTTATTTATTTAGTGTACCAAAACAAAACTGAAAGAGTTTTTTTAAATTATCAAATTGATTTTAAAGTAGCTCTCCACAACACACCTATGCTAAAATTCTGGTTAAGGACATTCAGAACATGATGATGTCATCCTTTTGGAAATCAATTAAGGGAAGTCAACCCTAATATTCAACGTTTGCAGCAAGTCAGGGCCCAAGTGTTCCTCACCTCCGTAAAGATCCACTCTTCTTGTGGAGATAAAACCGTACCCTTGCCCTTCAGCTGGCACAGCTCAAGCTTCACCACATCTGGTTGGTTGTTCGCATGAAGACACAGCTGCTTTCCAATGTTGTGCCGTAGCTCTTTATGAGACGTGTACTCGAAGTACTACAAGACACAACCAACCGGTGAGCACCAAACGAAGCAGAAGTAGAAGTTCTTCATTTCTCCCTGATCKATCAGGAGTTTTACCTGGTTGCCTCCCATGTTGTGGCACGTGTACATGATAAGAGGTTTGCCTCCCTGGTTGTTCTCTCCCACATCCAGGCAGGTGTTGGATCCAGAGTTTTTAAGCTGGTGGAAACAGACAACATGTTAGAAACCCTAATCGTGCAGAACATACTGAGTATGGCATCACCGCTGTTCACAAACTGAACTCACTGCTCCAAATTTTTCCGGCGTTAAGTCTGGAATGAAGATCTCTGGGTAGATGTTGTTCAGGTACCAGGTGAAGTTCTTACAGTGAAGCCTCTCCCTCAGTTTCAGACGATCAGAAACGTCTCCAAACTTRTTCTACGTCCACGAAGGGAGGAAGGGTGGGAGTTAATACACGGACTGAACAAACATGCATCAGCTGATCGGGTTTTAAGATAAGAAAACAGACCTCACTGGCCATCACTGCYGCGTTTTTGTTGCGACGGTAGTAGATCTTCTTATAATCATCCATCCAGACTTCGGCCAGGCGCACCTGGTTGCGAGTGATGACCTCGGTGCCTTTAGGGAACGTATGCGGGCTTTTGGTGCGGAAAACATGGCCCACCACAGAACACGGGATGATCTCTAGCTGACCCCCGCACTGCCAGACCTTGAAATAAAGGCAACAAACTTTTGACTGGACTGCAAAAGAAACTTCTCATTTGTGATCAGTAATGGTGAGCACAGAAGTGAGCGCAACKGACCCTGAAAGACATCTCCACGTTTTCCCCACCCCAGATCTCCATCTTGTCGTCGTACGTCCCAATGTGCTCAAAGTACTCCTTCGAGATCGCGAAAAGGCCACCGGCAAAAGTAGGCGTTCTAAAAATTTCATGGGGCAGATAGAGAAGCTTTAGGCCTTTAAATGATTCAAAACRTTAGGAGTGAAAACAGCACGGTCCGTCTTACTTTACAGGGTAGGTTTCATCCTTGCGCAGCCTCTTTGCCTCCTCGGGTATCGGCTCCCAGCCAAACGTCAGGCTCCAGTCGAAGTTCCCTCGGTTGTAAGCTCGGTTGGTGGGCACGGGCTTGTGGAACTGGAAGCTGTTCAGGTCTATGGTGGTGATCTCTGGACTGACGACAGCCGTGGGCTCCTCAACGATGCGGGCCAAGAGGGGCTCGAGCCAACCGTGGAAGCACTCACCTAATCATGGAGAAGATTTAATACTATGACAACACCGTACGTTTTATCGTCTCTTCAAGGAAATCTCTTTGGCTCCCCCAATAGCTGCTTATAAAAAAAGACAATATTATTTTTTCTAAACATCCAGCACATAAATATTAACTGACTTGAAAGAATTGCTGTCAAGTAAAGGTAATAAATAAAGTCATTTGTCTGTAGCTGCCATCTTGAATCAGGTTGGCTCATAAGCTGATCAGTAGATGTATATTTATTATTATTTGATGAGTATTTTTTGTAAGATTTATTCAAATTCATCCAGTGGTTCACAAGATATTTTAGCAGCAAACACAAAAAACTTTTCAGCAGAAGGCCAGAATCACAACTGATGAGTCAACCTGAAATACGTTATTTCAAAATTGTTTGGTCAATGTTTTGAGCTTGAGTCACACATGGTAATGAAATCTATTATTATCAGTACTACTGGGGTAGGTCTAAGTTGAGTTTAATAAAACAGATAAAGGAAAAGTAATAAAGTCGATAAAAGGAAACTGCTACAAATAAATGTAAATGTGCAACTAAAATCAGGAACTTTCTGGATTTTCAGATTAAAGATATTATTTGTGTTTAGTTTCATATGAGCTTTCATTTTCAGGCTTCAAGCCTTCATTTGAAAACACAAGCACATTTTAATTTAGTTTCTAACCCCTGATCTGTTTATAATCAATTTGTAACAACACGCAGCTTGTGTGTTGTGCGACGTTGTTTCTTACAGTGGGCATCGAGGAAGGTGAGCACTTCACCCTGAGCTATACTGGCCCCCAGCAGCCTGGCTGTGATGAGACCCTTCCTCTCCGGCTGCCTGACCACACGGACGATCTTCAGCTGCAGGACGAACTCCTCCAGTTTACTCTTGAGGTGCTCTGCGGACACAGAACATCGACAGGAGTGGGTCACCGAGGGCTTCAGCGTGATCACATGTTCAGCAGACTTCAGACTATCTGTGAAACCTCTCATCAACGACAGGGAGAAAACGTCACATTTAAGGTTGCCAGAGGAAAGCAGCGAGGTGGAAACTCTGCTGGTAAAACTGGGTCACACTTTCCCACCAAGAACCGCAACGAACGGCACATATTTCTCATAAGTTTCAGGCTGAGTGATTAGATCAACTGCGTATGAATACATAAACGCTACAACAGGAAGTTAAAGCTCTGGGAGTTAAAAAGAGAAGTACAGGAGGAAACGCGCATTCAGCTGAGGGTAAAGAATAACACACTCGTAATACTTCAGTTAATGAAACACAAGAATTATTAATGAATGACTGATGCTAACGCAGCGATACATGTACCAGTGTGTGTAATTACCAGGTATGATATTCTTAAAAATGTGTTTTTATAGTTTTAAGACATTTTGAAAGTACAATGTAAAACATATGACTAACTTTAATCCAAAGTTAATGCAAAAAGCCCTTTGAAACTTTTAAAGTTAAAGTAAAACAGAATATTTTAGTATTTGAATAAGCATATAATTACAGGTTCATAAACAAACAGCTTTTAAATCAGACAGCAGCTTGGCAGTCCTCCCAGCTAACCACATCCCTAAAAAACTCTTAGTGCACAGTGTTTTTTATTGTTTGTTCAGCAGCATTGTTTGATTCCCTCCGCCTCTCCTCCCACTAATTTTAAATGTTACAATTTTGTATAGTTATTTTTCACACGCTGTCGTTTTTATTATGAGTTGCAGCTCTTTAAAATGATCAAAATTACAAGAATATAACAGAACGCTAATTGTGTTGTTCCAGTTAGGATTTCTATCAGGGCAAATGATGAATTCAGATGATCATATTTAAAGGGACTTGTTTAAAAGAATAATGAATTAAACGTCTGACGTCAAAGATTTTGGAAAACAGAGCGAACTGGGTCAAATTTTCTGTAAGATTTAAAACAATCTGATCTTCATTTATAAATTCACATTATGCATCTAGTACCTCTGAAGTAGAAAGTCTAAACTTTTTTCTTCTTTGTTTTATTTTCATTAAACTGTCATTTTGTTTGAGTTTTATATTTAACTAAGGGAGGATTAAAATTGGGCTAATAATTCACTACCATTTAACCTTTAATGTTTTATTTCTGCACCAAGATCTCTAACTCCTTATTGTTTGGGATGACCTTTATTTAAGTTGCTTTTTTTGGAAATTCCTAATTTAATTTGCCACTGACTGAACATATTATCAGTCTACAAAAACAAACACTGCTGACTTTTCTCCTGATGAGCACAAGTTCCAAGAAAACCAGTGATGAACCAACGGTAGTTGGTTTATGGAGCCTATAGATGACTGGAATTGCCAGCTTGATTTTAACTAATATTTTACGTGCAATCTGTAATTGACATTGTTAAAAATCTGCCTGTACATAAAAAGGCATAACTTCTTAACGTCATGACTCAAGACGATGCAGCCAAACTTTCAGAAGCCCTTAACATGACAGAATGGATGAATGAATGAAATGAAATGATAGAATCAACAGGAGAAAAAATGTTTGTTCTTTTTGCTTTGCTTATTGTTATGTAGAAAACTCAGACTGTCCATGCTCAGCAAACACATAACTACAACAAACCAGGATGCAATAATACAATGAAATATCAATAATCTCAATAAAGTCACAGTAAAATGTTCAAATGACCTAAGCCAAAAACAAGTGAGAATTAAGTGTTTGTTGTGTTGCTTGTATTAAACCCAACCCAGCTTTTAACCTTTAAATTATAATTTGCAAACAATATATCACAGCACGCGCATTTTTTAATCTAACAGTGTTCAAACTGCAAACATGCTTCTGTCAAAAATGAGGAAGTTAAAAGACCAAAGTAATGAACTCGACACAAAAGTAGTTTCCTTGTTTTAACTCAGTTCTGATAATCACAGTTGACAGTTCCTAAAAGTTCAGTTATCTTTTTATCCATTACGTGCAAGTCACTGCGCTTAACGTGGCAGATTTGAACAGTTTTCTACGAAAATCAGTTGAAGTATTAATGACAACTCTTTGACCACAGCTCTGAATAAGGTGTCGTCTCCCGCCACGTCACTCTCACTTTAAGTCCTTTCTGTTTGTAATAACCAAACCTATTTGCTTCGGTGGGAGTAAGCTGCTGCTGCTAAAATCCAAAGCAAACACGACTCTGGGTTGTCTGATTAAAACTCAAACAGGGGCTTGAATTTCTCCCGAAGGCATTTGTGTTAATAAATTACACAGAACTTGAGCCTTTGTTGACTTTTGATGCTTTTCAAAGTTTTTGGTCATTAGCTGCTCTGTGTGTACAACTCACAAAAACTCTTTAAAGGTTATATATTTTGCCCTATTTTTCCTACATTACTTCCCTTTAAGCTTCTACCAGAGGCTCTGGAGCAGAATCTTAGCTTTTCTGGGGGTTCGACTGGAGCTGCTTTTCTAGTTTGGGGGGGGGGGGGTGGTCACAGGACCAAGTACTCTAATGACCACTGACACATCTGACTTATAGACTCTACAGAACGTCTCTTGGTATTTCTTGAGCTTCTTGTGCTCCTTCTTCCTGATCTTACAGTCACTGGGATTGCATCTATCCCGGTGAGTTAGCCACCACCCGTTTGACTGGATCTGCAAGTCCCACAGTTTTCTAGTCCTGTCATCCTGCACCACCCTTGGTGGGGTCTCCCATGCTGACCGTGGGACCTCCAGTCTACGCTCAATACAGATGGGACTCTGTACCAGGACCCTTCAAACTTCAAGGCCTCTGGTAGAAGCATATTATTTTAACCTACTGAGTAGTTTATAGCAACAGTCAGTTTATGTTTACAACCTAATTTGACTCATCACTCCCCTGTTTCACAGGAGCTTCTGACAACTTATCATCCTTTATTATTAATCATGTTTACAGCTCTTAGCACACAACGTGCTCCCAATCAAGTCCAAGGACACGAACAAAAGGCCCCACAATTAAAAAGTACTAAAAGTCTGATACTGAAGTATTTTCCATGTAGATGTAAATAAGACACTTTTTGTATCGTTGGGTCTATTTGCTGTTACTTTACAGCTACCAAGGCTTTTCTGTGGGTTAGCTGAACATTTGAATTTGCATGTCACCCAGAGATAACAAAACCTGTTACGTCGCCATTTATCCCTCATTCAAAGTGGACTAAACACACCTGAGCTGCAGTCTAATGCAAAGTGGAAAATAATTTTCTGTTCTTACAGTTGGAACAAAAACAGGCAGCCCCATTCAGAGGGACGTTATTATTTGGAAACTAATTTGAACAGTTCTTATTATTTGAAAATTACTACTATGATTGTAAGCAAAGACATACAGTCAAACTTTTAAACACGTTGAACATTTTACCCTTGAAACAATTTCAACTGCAGTTTAAATTTAGTTGAAAAGGTATAAAGTGTGTCTGCAACTGCAATAATGCATTTCTTTCCGATTTTTGTCTGAAATGTTTTAGTTATATTTTCCTTTTATGTGTTTTCTTTTGTCTGATTGCAAGAAACAACGATTTTAGCACGAGAAATGTTTCCTCGTTGCTCTTTTATCTGGCGTTAATTTCCACTGCTGTCGCACAGCGTTTAAGGTTTTTTTTTWAATTTTTTCCCCCAATTGTTTTGTTTTCAGTGCATCCACCTGCGGCGCTGGCGTCGTCAACCAAGATGATCTCCTTCAGCAGGACGGCGGGAGAGGAGTGCAGGACGCTGTAGACCGTCCTGAGGAGCGTGGACCAGGCCTCGTTGTGGAAGACGATGATGACGCTGGTGGTGGGCAGGGGAGGGCAGCGAGGGAATTTCCTGTCAACGCACCTGGGCGCGTCGAGCCGCACCGAACATAGCAAGAGAGGAAGAAAAGAGTCAAGAGTGAAAGACAGATCTGATCAAATGAAACGTCACAAGGTCTTAAACCGCCAAGCTCAGGAGACGCGTGTTTAGAGATATTCAAGGTCTGACTTGCATGGTGACACTTCAGGAATCTCACTTATCAGCAAACAGCTCGTTTTCAAAGCCACTCGAAACCCCTGTAAAGCAAACATGTCTCTGCTCTTGGTATCATGGTGTCGGGATATCGTGTTGGACAAACGTTTACAGTGAACGGGACTACCGGCACTGCCGTGAAGTCCGGGTTACAATCAGGTCACTCAGTTAAAGCGATTCTTCAAGAAAACTGAGAGTGCGAGCTGAAAAAGCGTATAAATGATTGACCAGCGTGAGCACGTCCCCAGCTGAGACAGACTCTTATCTCTGCTCGTCTACATTCCTGTCGGCAGAACGGCGTTGAGTTTTTTTTTTTTACTTTTAAGGATTTGTTTTTAAGCACTTACTCCGGAGGCCTGGTGTCATCGCCGAGGCTGCGGCTGAGCGAGATGCGGTCGCTGGCAAACTGGTTGAAGCAATGGCGGGTCATGCCCTCCTCCTTCTCCTTCTCCTCCGCGGGAGTCAGGCCCTCTTTCTGAAACGCCTTCCCATCGGCGCCGAAGCCGTGCGGGTCCTGAGGCGGTCTCTCCAGGTGAGGCCTGAGCTCGGCTTGAGTGTAAAACCCGGCGGGGCATTTGGGGTCCTGCGTGGGCTGCTCCTGAACCGGCGGAGGCTGCGGAGCTCCGATCTGGAAGCCGAAGTTGTTCACGGCGTGTCGGACCATGACCATCACCTTGTCCCTTTTGTGGACTAGGTCCTGTAGCCAGGGGTCCCCGGCGGATGAGGAGCCCACGTCCCTTTGAAGAACCACCAGGATCACCATGAAAAGCGTGCCGCCAAGGAGAACCAGTTTCAGAGGAGACATCCGGCGACGTAAAAACCGCATATTTGAAGAAGGGTGACGACTTTAAGGCTGTAAAACAGAAAAAAAGTGGGAAAAGTCTCTTGAGTTTGACCCCAGCTGAGCTGACAGTAGACTTGTTTTTTAAAAAAAGAACAAATCCAAAACACACTTTCCTCTCAGCTGTTTTGTCTTGCTACGCTTTCACAAAGTGATTCCTAAATGAAACAAAAGGTGACAAGGCAGGAGGGTAAGAAGAAGAAGAAAAAAAATGCCTCAAACCGGTTTGCGCGTCTCTCCAAGTGTCATAGCAGCTGCCGATCCAGCCAACCCTGCTCCTCCACCTCCTCCTGCTGCTCCGTCTCTTTAGGAGACAGTCCCACAGGAGGGGCGAGCGGAGAGAGCAAAGAGGCGGTGAGAGTGAACAAACACGCCGCGCCTCTCTGCAAACACCTGAATCCACCTGTTCCTGGCCACAGTCCACCAGGGCCCAACGTGGCAACAGGTGAGCTGCGACTCTCCGCCCTGCAGGCGAGTGACACGCTGGCAACTTTTTTCTTCTTCTTACCCAAAACACACACACACACATCATCACAGTGATCATTTGTCAAATGCAACAGGAACTGGAGTCTTGCTACGTGGAGCGTGACCTAACTCCACCTGGACGTGACACAATGAGAGACTGTTTCCTGCAGCGTGAAACAGGATCTCACTGCAAGCAGGACTCTCCTCACTCTTCAYAAGACTCACTCTTTTCTTGGSTCATAATTAATTTACTGCATCCCCAAGACAGCTGGCACATGACTGAGTCTAAAATAAATGAATAAATAAAAAAAACTGCCAGCTTTAAAAGACTGTTGTATAGGCTACTTACCTTAGGAGCATCTTATACAACAGTCTTTTAAAGCTGGCAGTTTTTTTTATTTATTCATTTTAATTACTATGTTGAGCCCTT